CCCCCCCAGTCGTGGTTGGCCTCAGCTGCTGACCGAGCCGTCTCGGACGTCTCGCCTCTGGGACGGGGCACCTTCTGCAGCTGTTAGCCAGTCGGCTGGGGAACGGTGTGCATGGCGCCAGGGCGTACCGTCCCAATGACCTGGGGCCAGGCCCAAGCCCGGAGTGTCACTGCTTGGCCAACCTCACAGCAGACTCACTGGTGCGTACCTGTGCATGTGAGGGGCTGCGCCCAGTCTCACGGGGAAGCCTCGGATGGTCGGGAAGTGTCCTGGGGGAGACAGCCCCACAGTCCAGCAGTACCAAGGGATGGAGTCAAGCCCCGTCTCCTAGCCTGGCTCACCAGCCATGTGACCCAGGAAAGGATGTCCACCCTCCTTGGGGTTCCCTCCACTGACCTCCCATGGTGGTTGGGAGGATCAACAGGAAACTGTGCAGAGTCCCAGGGGTAGCAGGGCTTCGAAGGTGGCCTCACTGGGCACAGGCAGGTCGGGCATGCAGATAGATACACTCTGAATCAACCTTGCAAGTACCTTCAGAAAAGACTGGCCCCCCGATGTAGGGGCGGGGAGACACTAACACCTGCTTTTTCACACATCTGGGCTTTTGCAGGTATCCTCTTGGCACAAGCCCACAGACGGCTACAGAGTGAGGGGACATCGGGGGACAGGGACGCACACGCAGCCAATACCTGGCCCTGCCACAGTGGCGCAGCTCTAGGGCAGGTGCAGAATGGGGACCACTGGTTCTCACTCCCAAGCCTCATTCTATCCCCAGAGATGCTGCTTGCAAACATGTTGCTCTGAAAAGCACCCTTCCTTCAAATGAACACATGCACGGGAGGAAGCCCGGCAGGTGGAGCAGGCAAAGCAAGCATGCCTATGCTCAGGCCAGCAGGGAGCTCCTGCCTCCCACACAGGTGCAGCCTTGGGGTCCCGGTTCCCACAGTGCAAGAGGGTCCTGCGTCCTCGGGCAGTGACAGGAACTAGACCCACTCTTCCTCGATAACCACGAAGACAGCACTGAGAAAGAGCACAGCCTAGTGCCACCCGGGAGTGAGGAGCTCTGCTCAAACTCATCTGGCCTAGAGAGATACATGCATGGAGTCTCAGTCACGTCCCCTGTGCACCTGTCTGCGATCACTGCTCAAGGGCACATCTTCAGTTTCCTAACTGCTGACACTGCGGACAGATGACCCACGTCACCGCATGCTGCACGCTGTTCCTTGTGACCCACTCCTGCCTGTGCGGTGTTCCTGGAACGCACAGCCCATGAGACAGTAGATGGGCACCCAGACGCCTGTGCTATTGCTGCAAACCAATCTGGATTCTCACACAAATAAACTTGGCGCCCCTTCCTTGTCTCGTGTTCCCTGCGTAATCCAGCCCCTTCAGTGGCTGTGCTGATGGCCATGGGTTGCCTTGGTTAAATGAGCACTGCCGATGTGTTTTGCCCCAGCCTTTCTTCTCGGGTTGATGGGTCAGATGCTAACCCACCGCAGGAACTTCTGCAGATAAAGATTCTGCCTGTCACGAAGACCCTGACTACAGCAGAGGAGGAGACAGCAGGATGGCCACCGGAGCTTCTAATAGGGGTTCCTTGCAGCCCCGCAGGCTCCGTGACAAGTTGCAGGGTCACCCTACATGTGTGTCAAAGCCGGGGAAAGATGGACGACCAAGGGCTTGTGCGACCCGGCCACATGTGGAGAACCTCCACCACACCTCCACCCTGTTCACCCGAACCTGGGCTGGGAAGGGTGCTGTGAGCGACAGCCCCAGCCTAGTCCCAGGCTGTCACCCCGGCCAGGGCGGAACTCCGGCCAGCCCACCTCAGCTTCGGCAGGCGGGATCGGAGGTGCACGCTGTCCGGAAGGTCTCCCTTCTCTGAGGAGGCGGAGGTAGACAGCCCAGGTGCCTCTCTGCTCAGCAGGTATCTCTGCTCCCACTCAGCTGAGCTGTTCTCCCATGACTCTTCGGGGGTGACCAATTCCCCATGGTAAACAGGCATGTACCGTGACCTGGAAAGCGAGAGTTTTGTGGTCATTTCTCCTAAAATAGTAGCAAATTCAAAACCTCCTCTCGGTCACGACAGATGAAATGTCATGGCGGCAACCCTGGTTTGTAAAGGACCTCCGCTGGTGCAGTGCAGAACGGTCCCAATACCAAGGTGGGGTCGCTCAGGTCAGACCCAAGCCAACGCGGAGCAGACAGGTCATAAGGAAGGGCATCCCATGCCTGTGTGTGAGACCAGAACTTTACCAAGGTCTTCTGAAGGCCCTTCTGCACCTGGGCCAGGATAAGACCCATTCGAAGGTCTCTGGTGGCACAGAAATTGCAGCTAGGTTTTTCTAGCAAGGCCTGTCCCCAGCAACGGTGCCATTGAGTAGCCACCAGCTCCTGCAACGGGCCTGTGTGACCGAGGAAGAACTCACAGGGCTGCCAGCATAGAGGCAAACTGAGGCACAGTACTCAAAACAAGAGGAGTTCGAGGAGCCCAGGTGTAAGGCCTGCAGGCCCCACACTGCTTGGGTGAACGCGCTCCGGGTGCCCTGAACATGCGGGAATGTCTTAATCCTCAAGCGGCTTTTAAAAGCAAAACTGTGAGTGGGAGTGGGGGCCTAGGGGACAGTCATCCTTGGCTCCCAGGCCCGTGAGCAGGGTGGCGTCGGCCCGGCGTGCGGGCGGGCGTGCTCACAGCAGCCGCAGTGTCTGGCCCAGAGGTCAGGCCAGGCTGTGGTTCTGGCAGCCTTTGCAACAGTCCGTGCTGCCGGCACGCTGGTGTGAGGAAACCCCTCCGCGGCCTCCCCAGCTGTTCCCCAGGGTCATCCGTCAAATCGAAACCGCATCAAAATAAACGTGCTGAGGTAGAGAGTCCGAGGGACCCACCAGCAACGCCCTCGTCCTCCACGCAGGAAAAGGAAAGGAAAGCGCCGTGAGCAGAGCTGACCCGCGCTCTGTTCCCGGACGCGGCTTCCACGAGCCCCAGCTCGGGCTCTCAGGGCCGAGGGCCGTCGCTGTGTTCCCCGGCCCAGACACACACGTCCAAAGCTGGCTTTCCAGAGAATGCAAGTCCTGCAGCGTCCCCGGCCCTAAGAGCTCCGAGAAGTCGCAGAGGGGCCGGAGGGCACAGAGGAGTGACGTGCTTGTCTTCAGAGCTGCTGCTCAGGAGAGACGGAGCTCTGAGCGAGTGGTGCCCCGTGGACGAGCTCTAGGCAGGTGGGTCCACGGGGACACCGCGGCCGGCACCCCTCCCCACCCGGTCACCGAGGGCTCGCGGCGGGCCATACCAAGCACTGGGCGTGGGATGAAGAGGGCACAGGCTGGCAGACACGGTCACCTTAGCACAGGGCAGGTTCCGAGGCACAAGAATGCCAGGGCACTTCAGGGCCAGGAGAAGCGTGGCCCCTTGGGGGAAGGGGAGACTAAGGTCTCACAAGGAAGAGGCGTTTGAGCACCCTTGAACGTGAGTGGGCTGCCCTGGACAGCCAGAGGGAGGAGGTGTCTTGGTGGGACTTTTGCAGACATGGCTGGTCGTCAGGGACTCCTAGAGGGAGGGAGAACACCCTGCAAGGGAGGCAACCAGCCAGACCCCCATGCCCATCCATACCCTGCAAACCTAGGACTCGGGGTGAGCCCCGCCCCACGCTGCTGCAGCCAGGCTGGGAGAGGCTGGGGGAGCGAAGGAGGCTCGTCAGCCACCTGCCCAGACAGGTGCACAGGGGCAGTGGGCAGAAACGTGGCAACATGCAGGGAGCCAGGGGACACCGAGCAGGTGGCTCAGGCTTCGGAAGTTTGCAGAAAGGAGACCAGGTAGAGGGCCTGGGCTCAGGCCCCGCACCCCTGAGGAAGCATCTAGAAGCTATCCCCAGATCAGCCCTTGTAGGGCAATTCCCAAACCTCCCAGAGCCATCCCCCTCCAACCTTGCTGAAAATGGATTTTTCCTGCGACTCTAATGGACAGGGTTTCTCAGCTTCTGCACTGTGGGTATCCGGGCAGCACAGCTCACGGCGGGCTGGCCTATGCACCCCGGAAGGTGGCATCCCCAGCTTCACCTTGGAGGCTAGCGGCCCCCAGCCCCCGCGGGACAGTGGTAATGTCTCCAGGCAGTGCCGCCTTCGCCCCGGCTGAGACAGCCCTCCGGACCGCGGGCAGGTGTGCTGCACGATCGTGGCCGGCTCACACTCGAGGCCACTGGGAAGTCCGCAAGCCGGGAAAAACAACCGGGCCTCCCGAACTCTCCAGCAGGAGCTGTTGTAGTCTGGCAGGGAGCATCCCAGGAAGAGAGCCCGGGGGGCTCCAGGGCAATGCCTAAGGTCTCCCGACTTGGCAAGAAGGAGAAAGTTCTCACCTTTTCTCCTGTGAGGAATTCCTCAGCAAAGGGGTGTCTTCTGTGACGTGGGGGGCGTCAGACCTGGTGCTGGAGACCTGGGGCGGGGCTGAGTGCAGCCTGGAAAAGAGCAAAGGCGACAGAGTGACCAACACAGAAATGGGTCGTGCCCTACCAGCTGGTACTGCAGTCAACAAGCCCAAGACGCGGTGAGAGATGGCCCTGAAATTCGGCTAAAGGCCACCTGCGTTGAAAGAAGCCAGAGTTTTTTGTTTTGGTTTGGTTTGGGGTTTTTTTTGTTGTTGTTGTTTTTTATGGATTTTTTTTTTTGAGAGATTTTTGCTATAGGGCACATGCGCTTGCTAGAGAGACAGAGAGACAGCAAGTGAAAAATCACCCCCCGGGGGGGATGGCCATGCCGCAATCCCTTCTACTCCATTCTCCTCTCGGGATCTTGGGCATGCATGCACACGCACCCAGCA